TTTTTCAACCATAAATTGGACTTCAGAGATGCCTAAGCTCGAACTGATAATAGAATCAAAAGAAAGAGACAGAAGAAAATTTGAAGTTCATTCAGAACAGCAATCTTCATGACAATATTAATAGAATGAAAAATAAAATGGAAACCATATAATGCAATAAATTACATTCTGGTAAGAAATAATATTCAGGCAAGAACATTATCATCTCATCATCTACAGACTAGTAAGTAGTCTGAGAAGAAATTTCTTGATAGTTAAAATGCAAAGGAGAAAAGACTAGAAAGCTATAGTGAACTTGTAGTTCCAACTTCCAACCAAGGAACAGGTGATCCTCAGGGGATAAGTACCACACTTTCATATCCTTTCTATTCCCAAAAGAGAAAAAAAAAAAACATGGTGATGAGGTTTCGCCTTGAAAAGCTGGAAATCCAAAAACTCAGTAGATCCACCTGCCATCACCATCTTTGAGGCCATCACCATCTTTGAGTTGAAGATAGTTCTGAGGTTGTTAAATCCGTTGGAAGTCATCTACGCGAGAGCGCAATCAAATCACAGTTCCAGGTGAAGTAAATTTGGGATTACAAAGAATGATTACCAATCCATATAATTTGCACATCAACCAAGTTAATCTAGAACTCAACCATCTGGCTTTTCATTAGCATCCTCCATTGTCTTGTCTTCTGTAGTTTCTTTGACACGTTCTACAGTTTCTGCCTCCTCAGGAATCACAGAGCTCCTTCTCTCTTCTTCTCTAATTGTCTCACCATTCTCCATGGTATCTTTTTCAGTAGCCTTCTCAACAATATCTATTATATGTTCTTCTCTAGCATTTTCATCATTCTTCAGAATCTCTTCCTCCTCGACATCTATTATTACCTGAAGAAGTTCTGGTGGAATGGCCGCTGGGTCTAGCTCCCAGCAACCCTTTGGAGCCTTGGGAGCTTCATGACCAGTAAGCAAGCGTGAAGGTACTTGATGAGAGAAACGAAACATCTCTCCTCTAGGAATCCTCCTGACTTCTCTGGGGTCCAGATGATAATGAAATACTGTCTTGAAACCAGCAACTTTGACCAAGGGAATAACAGTAACACCGTATTCTTCATGATAATCTTCAAGTATTTCAACCATGTCATACTTGTGTATAACTTCATCTGCTGTTAACTCATTCCAGTCAGGAGACCAGTTCCGATAGACTGCCCAAACATCACCCTTCATGGGATATATGCAGACGACCCCATGTAAGCTTTTTGTCCACTTAACTTTGTGTGAAAAAGAATTAAGTGAGCCATTAATCTCATGTCTGCCTACTCTGAAACCCCCACAGGTCTTTAGGAAACCAGAAGCAACCCAGCTTAATGGGCCCAATTCACAGTTAGTTTTGGAATTAAGCCAGCTGATTTGCATCTTAAATGGATTCAGAGAAATTACATTATGAATCATGGCATAATACCTAGGCATCCCATCATCATTATCATATGCAGCCCATACCTGGTTATCCCCAAAAGCCCTTTCAGTTCTAACCTGGTCAAAATCATGAAAATCTGGATCTGGGACATTTATGGACATTGCTTCCACAGTTTCTGCATTTGGATTGACACAAGAACTGCTAGAAACTGGATTTGTTCTATACAGCAAATCCTCAGACTTGTTTTGTTCATTTGCTCCATTCTCTTCTACAAAAGATTCCTTTCCTTTAGCATTTGCATTTCCAATCCCATCTGTCCTGTCTCTGGCTGCAGTCTCAGCAGTAGGTAATGATTTCCATTCATGCAATTTCTTACAAATTTCTTTCTTAGCCTTCTCTATCAGTTGATTTTGAATTTCAATCTGGGAGGCATCCTTTCCAATACTGGGTTTAATGGTTCCATTCCTACCTGTTTCTAAACTACCTTGTTTAGATCCAGAGGCATTAGCAGTCCCAGCTCCTCCATTTCTACCATCTTCCATGACTTTCCTTTTCTTTGGTGGGTTAGAGTGCCCTGCTGAAGAATTGCCATGCATCCTTTTAGGGACATGGTTCTTTCTCCGCATGGCCTCCTCTCTCTTTGTGGCTGCCTGTGCTTCACGTTCTCTTCTAACCTTTTCATATGCCTGCTGCACAACAGTTGCAGCTTGAGCAGCAGCTGAAGCACCGCCTGCTCTAGAAAATGGACTCCACTGGAAGTTGGTTTGATTATGTGAATCAGGACCAGTGGCAGCATTGGTTCTTCCTGAATTTGTTGTGTTTTTTCTACCTGCTTGATTATTTGAGCTTTGCTGCTCCTGTGAAAAATTCCAAGCACTGGATGTCTTTTTGATTCTTGAAGCTGGTGGAGGTGTTTCTACAGCCAGAAATGGATCATGGCAATTAGGGCACAAGAGATTATGATTAAGATAAACTCTGAGATACTCATAGTGCATCTTGCATAGATGGCAGACAGTCCAAAAGGTTTTTGGTTTTGACTTGTGAGTTGATGAAGTAGAAGCATTCTTGAAAGTCTTGGCACTTGAACTTGCTGTTTTGGTTGCATTGTAAAAGCCATTTGCACCTGTTGGTGCTGACATGTCCCCATTTGGAGTCGAAACCTTCTGAAATATCTTTCCATTCCTCTTCTGGTCGTACGCTACCCTCTTAGTCTTGTCAGATAGTAAACTCCAAGCTTCCGAAATAAGCTTGAATGCCCCATCAGCTCCTAGAGACTTGTTTTTATCAGGGTGAAGCATGAGAGCAAGCTTTCTATAATGTTTCCTCACTGTTTCATCATCAGCTTTTGGACTAACACCAAGAATCCCATACCAATCTGCTTCCCCATTTATTTTGTTCTCTGCAGAAATATGGACATCAACTGTTGCTATCATTTGGTGAATACCCTCAAGCTCAGGGTGCAAATTCTGAGCCTTCAAAGCAAATTTCTTTGCACCTTTCAAGTCTTTAGCAATGAACTTCTTCTCAGCAAGCTTTTTTGCCCTGGTTGCTTCATCTTTATTGCACTCCATTTCCTTCTCTCACCTTCTACGTTACTCAACTTATCCTTGTCCTCTATCAAGAGGCCAACAAAATTCAACAAATTTCAGCCTTCGTGCTCGTCAATTCTAAAAATTCTGCATTTTCCGATTTCCTAAAACAATAAAAAGCAGACACAAACCTACTTCATATAATAATCACATACAGAAAACCATGATAAGAGAACTGCTCTAGAAAAAGCTCAAAAGGGTAATTACAGGGAGTCCTGACAATCAACCAAAGAGAGAATTATCTTACATTAAATTGAGAGCGAAAGCTTATTCAACTTCTACATTTTAACCATGTAGCTATTCATTTACCAATTCCCAACAAACCCACTACCCAGATATCTGAACATGGAAAAAATTCATGTTTTAACAACAACCCACCTCCACCTCCAACTCCCCTCCCGACCCAAAAACAAACAAAGAAAAAGAATGCAGAAGATGCAAAATTGAAACCCAATTCTGTTCACCTATACCATATCCCAGTTCTCCTAAATAACCACCTAGTTTTCAATTAAACAAACGAAGGTGCATCAGCAACGAAAAACAAGAACTAATCCAAACAAAACAAAAATTCCATATCATGTTCTATTCGAAACTGCGAAATCAGATTCAAACTCGAGGCATGTAATTACAAACAAGGAATTGCGATTCATCCATCAACAAACAGTATCACGAAACAAAACCCCAAAATCAATTCGATCAGAAGAAACTAAAACTGCGGGTAAGATTAAAGATTCAGAGATAATTGAGATTACCCAATTATGAGACCTAGGGCTAGTTGACGAATTTGGAATCACAGAGCCACCACCATGTCCAAACCTCGATCAACCTTTTTTTTTTTTTTTTTTTTGCTTCCTATGCCCCCTGTTTTCTCTCCCGAGTCTTAAAAAATACCCAAAATGTGAACTTTTTATCAAAACCCCTCAAATTAGGCCCTTCCAAATTCCCAACAGTTAATGGGTTAAAACAGATTGGTGGGTAACATGTATACATTATGGGCTTTTCTTCTTTTAAAAGCATCATATTGATATCCTCCTAAAGACCACTCTTTTTTCTTATTGGTTGAAAATTCCTAACCATGGTTAATTTTTGACTCCTGGGCTGTGTAGACTTAATCATGGTTTACATCTTACTCTTGTTGTGGGTTAATGTTCATGGATTGTGTCTAGGATTGTCCTTTTCAAGAATAATAAGATGCAAATAAGCCCCCAAAATAATTTCAACAACTAAATAAGTCCCTTGTGAAACTCTAGCAATAAATCTATATATGATATTACCAAAAAAAATAATAATAAATCTATATATGAAAATTTATACTTGTTAGGACTCATTGTGAAATTGTTTAAAGAATATATTTTTATTATTATTTATGATATTTTAATTATTTAAAAAAAAAAGTAATTTTTCCACCATTCCTTTATAAATAGCAACAAATTTCTCTAAAGTTGATGTAAAATATTAACCTACATCAACTAACATTTAATTCAATTAATCTATGTAGTATGATGGATTGAAGAATAATTACTAATGTTTCCATCTACTTTTTATAGGGATCTAATTAGCTGTCATTGTCCCACTTACACAAATACCCAGGGGCAACCTAAGTGATTTAATGGGAGTAAACGATCTTAGATTTAGGTAGTAGATATATGGCTAATGTGGATAAAGATGTGAGATGATTGTTTTTTATTGTATAATTTACAAAATTAAGAAAAAAAAAATGCAAAACTATACAAAGTTTTGAGAATCTTGATTATTAAATCCTAAAATGATCATCATATAGAGAAGTAAAACTCATACCTGCACAGAGAGTTTGTACATATCCCATCCCCTTTCTCCATTCATAAAAGGTTAGGGGGTTGAGTTTGATTTTGAGCTCTAAGAAACTTTAGATTTTGTGAGAAGGCGAGAACTTTGAGTTTGATTTTGAGAAGGCGAGGTTTTGATTTTGAGTTTGAATTTGATTTTGAGTCAACTATTTATGGCAAATATGGGCAAAGACTTAAGCTCCTTTCCCCTTAAGGATATTTTAGGCATTATTGGGAAGATAAATCTAATTTAAATCCAAACCAATATCCATAATTAATAAAGCAACCAAAGAAAATCTGAACATTTTACAATTAAAATATCATGAAGAATAACACAAAGATTTGCTAAGGTATTTAAACAATTTTAAAGACAATTTAACATTTTAAATATCTAAGACATTTTGAATTTCAATTATCTCATTAATAAATATATAATTATATTTGGAAAAAAATGTATTAATTTTGACTCTTAAAAAAAGTAAAATTCTAACCTTAAATTATGTAATTTTATTTAATTAAAACTTAATTCAAAATTTAAAAATATATCTTATTAAATGTTAATATTTAAATTTTAAAATTAATTATATTAAAATATATATCAATTTTTATAATTTTTTTATATAAATTAATTATAAAAATATACATTTATTATATTTTTACTGTAGTGTAAAGATATTA